GAACTGCCCTTGTTCTAATGTTAGACTGCAGCAGACGACATATCTATTTATCTATATTTCCAATTAATCCTGCATAGGGCGTCTAACAGAGGAGCCTTAGCAACAAAATAAATATGATCATGAGCAGAATGCTGCCTTCATGCACCTCCAGCACTGAGACTGAACAGAGGGACCTAACAAGGGAAAGTGGAAGCATTCCCTGTGGCTGAATCATTTGCTGTCACCTTGTTGCTCCCTGCGCCCGCATGTAAACAGCCATTATGTGCATTTATCAGAAAGAGACTGTGAGATGTTTACACCAATATGTATCGCTACATGCTACCAGCATTAACAAGGAGGGCCACTTTCTGCTGGTTTCTCTTACAAGTGTTTAAGGCAGCAGCCAGGCAGCTCTGTGTGCACTCTGTATATACAGTAGAAGCTTGGCCCATTATATTTTCCATTGCTAACCCTCCACTTTGAAGCAGCCTATCCCTCGTTTCCTGCCCCCTTCAGCTATCCACCTCATCTTCACCTCCCCTTTTGTTCAACCACAGGAAAACAACAGCTTGCAATCCCCCCCCCCATGTGGATTAATTAAATTGCTGCGATGGTTGCCGTCTATGTCACGGAGAAGACCCTTAGCGTGGACCCCGGGGACAGAGTCGGTGTATAGTTACAGTGTGAGGGCTACGTAGTGAGGGCTGGGAGCTGAGGAGCAGACCGGGGGGGTGATGACATCCAGGCTCGAGGGGAGCGGGGATGGCTGGGGGATGTAGTTTAAAAATTAGATTTTCGACCAGACAGATGGCATCTGTGTGCTGCTGTACCCCACAATGTCTGAATAATTGGAAATAACAGCATCAAAGGTCTAAAACCAGAAGCCTTGTTTCTCAGTAGACTCCATCAGCTTTCATTCTAACTCTAATGGTGATACTGCAGAGAGTCTAGCTGCACCTCTGAGACAGAGATGGAGGGTTTCAGCTATTTGCAGCTCGCCTGAAGCAGCACAGAGTCCAGCGTCTTGTTTTGCTCAACACAGTCAAAGGGACGGCAGATGGTATTTATTTTCAGACTGAGCTTTCAGTTATTGGACTGTCTCAACCAGCTCTTATCTTCAAACCAACATTCTTTTTCTTTTTTAGTTCATTTTTAGAAACAAGGATTAGGACACCAACTCTAATCTGACAGATTACATGCACTCATCTCTCACTTGTGATTCCCCCAGAGGAGGAAACATTACAAAGAAATACTATTTTAGTTCTGGTCGTGTCAGAGATTCTTTTTGCATCTCGATTCAAAGCTTTAATATTCACAAGTATCTGGACTGAAGGAGTGGGCTCGTAATCACACTGAATTGTGGGAGGTGGTTCAGCGCTTTCGGGCTTCTCAAAGAGTTTCCACCTACACTTTTCTGCTGCAAATCAAACAGTCCTTTTATAACTCATGTTACAGCAAATACTTGCGTAATGCTGCCAACTGCAGTTTAAGCTGTGAATTGCAGTCATGCTACAGACACTGGGATAATATTGTATTAATTGAGAACATATATTCCTCTATCCTGAACATTACAGGATTAAAAAATTGTTTTTTAAAATAATTTATTTAATTATTATTTGTATTATATATATTTTTTAACTTTATTTTACTATATTTTTTATAATTTTTTATGTTATTAAAGTTTTCTTAAAATAGTTCTTTGTGTTTTTTATTTTTGTTTTACTTTTATGTATGCACCACGACACCAAGTCAAATTCCTCGTACAGTACGTGTCAACCTAGCTGGTAATAAACCTGATTCTGATTGTGATTCTAGGGGATTGTTACTCCTGATTTATTTCTACAGATGAAAACGATTTCAAGTACTCATCCATCTACTTTTTCTCCCCTCAGCCGTGTACATCCTTCTCGGTGCAGGAGGCCTGATGATGATCGTCGGGTTCTTCGGTTGTTTTGGGGCTGTACGCGAGTCGCAGTGTCTTCTTGCATCGGTGAGTTTGGGTGCTTTAAAGTGTTCCTATTCTTGTACTTTAAACATGTAATCAATCCCTCAAATGTTTTACTTCTAAAGGTTTCATTACTAAATGTCCTGGTTATTTATATGCAGTTCCCTGGAAAGATCTATGTGTAATTTGGTTCCAATTATAGGTGAAATAGGCTTTAATTGGCACGATAATTGGTGTTAATTAATCCTAATTATTGCGAGGGAATGCAAGAGTTTTTAAATTTGTGCACATTAGGTGCAAACAATAGAAAATGTGTCTCCTAATAACATTTTTATTTTCTTAAAAGCATCTAGGAAATCACAGGGAAATGATTGATCTATAAAATGATAACATTAAGTGATACAAACACGCCTTGTATACAGATACCTCTAGTATAGGACATTAATGAGCCTTTCTCCTGCTCTACAGTTCTTCGCTTGCCTTCTGATAATCTTCGGAGCAGAGATTGCCGCTGGTGTGTTTGGATTCATAAACAAGAAACAGGTACAACACTGCAATTAAACATTATAAATCAGATTGTAATGTATTTTTCAAATGTAATAACTGATATTTTCTTTAGATTGTTGAGGAAGTCCAAAAGTTTTACAGCAGCTCCATTGCTGACGTCTCCAATCCGAATGACACAGCAATCGCAGTCATTTACCACCAAACTGTGAGTAAGACCTCTCCTCTTCATATGACTGAGTCACAGTGAACCAGCATCACCATTTTATCTTTCATCTTTTCATTCACAGCTGAACTGTTGTGGAGGCTCCACATCAGACACGTCCACCACACTGTGTGCAGAGGCCGAGGAGAACACCCAGGTGACCCCGCTGCCTGCTATGACACTTTAGACCCACAGGGGGGCACAGTAGCACTGATTTAAGATCAAACCATAATCGAACCATGGATCACAGATGTACATTTATCCACAGTGGGGTTGTGTGCAGTAACTGTTATTAACATAATATATGCGTTTTTTCTATTTTTTAGGATTGTCTCACTGCAATATCAGACTTCTTCAATGAAAAGCTGCACACTATTGGATACATAGGGATTGGGATAGCAGGAGTAATGGTGAGACTTACAAATCATTGAATTCAAACTTCATCAATCATGATCCCAGTTTACAATCACTTCTATAAATGTTCCCTCAACGACGATTTGATGGCTATACTGTATTGTCCAACTTTACACAAAGCTCCATAATTGTTTTAACATGTCCAACAATGTGTCTGATTCCAGGTCATAGGGATGATCTTCAGCATGGTCCTGTGTTGTGCCATCAGGAACAACAGGGAGGTTATTTAGAAGTTGAGTCCCACCCAACCAGCGAGCCCACTACACCCTCAATGACCCCTTTATCATCAAGACATCTGAATAAAGATGGAAAACCCCAAAGTTACATTTCATGTCATTTCTCTAGTCCATAGGAATCTAGTGGGGGAGTTCAGTGAATATCACAAAGAGAGAATTCAATACATCCCAGTTGTCCACGGGCCAAAATTCAACACGATACGCTGGATCCTAATCTGCACACCTCAACTCCACCAGCACTGAGTGAAAATGATTTTTTTTCCTGTAAACTAAGCTCTGCTTTTGGCACGACTCTGAGACATTCCTCAGTTTTAACATCTTTTTGTTACACGACGCACTACACGAAGCCTTTTTAGACACAGGAATGTTGTGACTGCTGTAAATATGGACAGCTATTTTATGCAATTGTTGTTAACATTATTTATTGTGCCCTTTTTATGTAGCCAATACTACTCCGTGTGCTTACAGTATATGTTTTGAGGACTAGCCTACCTTTGCTGAGTAAAGTTCCACCACGTGCCTATCTTGTCACTAAATTTGCCTATTTATTGTGATTTGAATATCTACATGAGTTCCCTGCCACCACTCTCAAGTATTTCTACTTTAAAGCACAAAAGAGGAAGTGAAGATGTGATATTAAAAGGGTTAGGGAAGGTCTGATGATAAACTGCCTTTCTGTGAATCCCCAAACTTATCCAAAAGGTCCTGAGTAACACAGAGTCGTGAGCTCCTCTCGAGCGCGTGTGAACTGTAACGGTGAGCTACTTTGCATTTTGTGTGAATTATTTTGGATGTAAATTTTGTTGGTGTGCCAATAAGATGTGAATTATAGAATAATATAGTTTATGCCATATTGTTAACCGTAATAAATACAAATAAATACTGGGTGCTTTTAAAAAAGTGTTTGGTTCTTTTCCTGCCTTTGAAGTCTCTAATGCAAGTTGTGTCTCATGGCAGCACAATGCTAAACCAGTTCAATAATGCTGGGAACAAATAGACCACACTCAACAATAGGGCCTCTTGAGACACATTACATTAGTGAGACAAAATATAATATTCAAGAGGCCTTTATACTTACTAAAATGCATTTGTTAGGCTGCCACCTATTTATATTTAACACAAATCTTTATTGTTTTCTAGTCGCCCTCACAGATGGACACATACAGATACAAAATAAGTGAATGAGAAAACGAAAAGAAAGAAAAAAGATAACCGAGTCCCTTTCCCACGCCACCTTATCCCTCCCGTCTAGCCATTTCACAAAAATCATGCATGATACTTGTTAGCAATCAGCTGACTTTATCCATTCACACACATTTTAGCATAACAATGCATAATCCACCCTTAAAATGTCATCTTTTTAAACTAAATTGACATTGAGTCCTCTCCTAATCAACTTCCGATTCATCAAGGTGTGCGTATGTACAATCATATTTTACATGAAGGATATACCCAGATTAGCAGCTCTTTCAATAGCCTCTAGTCTAGTGTTTCTGCTTTAGCATTGTTAAGTATTATGACGATTGAAGCCATTTGTCACTACGGATTAAATGTTTTTGTTCTTGCCTTTGTTAGAGGGGCTGCGCTGGCATTATCTCAGTTTAAACCAGCTGTCTTTTGGACCTTTTCAAAGTTTTTGTAACAAAGCAGGAATCATTTATGTCTGTGTGGTATAGACCTGTCAACGATATGGTGTAATAAATCAATGAACACAGAATGAGTGTATTTACATTTTTTATGTTAATATATATATGGTATGTACAAAAAACACAAACACAAAACATGGTAAGAGTCACATTTCACATGCTCAGTCACAGTAATATTGTTTTTATTTGGCATGTTTTCTATTCAGACAGAAAGGTCTTTCTGCTTTGTTTAAGGCATAAACCAAAAAAAACATTTGAAGTTTCAGGTATCCATATGAAAATGTCTTAACTGAAGTTATGTGGACAGATACATATATAATATGCATGAATGCATCTCAAGTTATTGCAGGTAATACTACTAAAACAACTTCAGGGTAACATCAAGTATTTAACAGGACATGTTATGGATTGGAAAGCCATATGGTCCCATGTCAGTAGGAAGGTTCATGATCAGTGAGATTTAAACATGTACAATAACAGTTCTTGCTGGAAATGTGTGTAACAAAATAATTAAAATATCCCTTTGCATTCAAATGGGCTCAACGAGTCCCCAACTTAAAGACTTTGTAACATGAGACAGCAGTGGAAAAGGAAAAAACATAAAGTACTGCAAGCTGCTGCATTCAGCAATTCAAAAATAAAAACTAGCATACACATAAAGTACACAAAAAAAAAGCAAAGCGATAGCATGGAAGAAAACACAAAAATAGGATGTGTATTTGAAGGAAATAGCTCTCCTCCCTCACAGAGGGAAACAGGACTGTCTCTGGGACAGAGAAAGAATAACACTGCAACTCTGCATCCCCCAGCCCGGTAAGGCCAACAGCTTCAAGTGCAAACATTGGCTATAGCCTCCTGAAAAAGTCACAAAAGTGTTTAAGTGCAACACAGCAGAAGATGAATCATAGGTCTTCATAAGTCTTCCTGTCTCCAGACAAGACTCTGCTGTAAACTGATGGTATGTAGCTGCCAGTTGTTCCACCATCTACGCTCAGAAGGTCCTCAGTCAAGTTGATATGCTCTCATGCCGACAGGAGGTTTAGAGGAGTGTTGTCCAGGATGTATTCTCCAACTCCAGCAAAGTACATAACCTGTGCGATGCCGAAGAGAGGCGCGATCACCAGAGCTCGACAGCCAGCACCTTTCAGGAAGGCTGAGGGTCCCTCCTTCTGCATTATTTTACTGTGGAGAACCAGAGGCAGGGCTTAATGTAAACAGGCATTCAAAAAAAGAAAAGTGATTTTGTAACAATGTATGACTTATCTGTCTTACCTCACACAATCAACCACTCCACTATAGGCCTCCTCAGCGGACCCTTTGTTCAGCGACTGCAGTCTAGTCTTCACCACTACAAAGAAAATGAAAGAGAAAAAATGAAATGACATTAAGAAACATTACTGTGCTGTTACTAATAAACAGGGCACATCATGCAGAACATATCACACACTTAAATACTGATCATTCTCCATTGTTAACAACCATGTGTTGAAATGATATGGAGGAGAGCTAGCTAACGTTAGCTTTAAGAAATATCAGAATGGGGATAACAAAGAGCAGCATAGCGGTGCATTCAAGTTAAGACTTGAATAATTATAGTTGTTCAAAAGAGATGTTTTCACAGTAGTATAAAAAAGGTTAGAGTTGGAACTATGACCCGTTTAACTTCCTAACAAAAACCGACAGAAATAGAGGAATTTCACTGGTGTGGTAAACACCTGATAGATTTCTAGCATCATGGCTGACATGGCTCTGAACACTCACCGTCACACGGGTTAACAGCCACAGCGGCGGTGGATCCTGCCACACACCCGGACATGAAGGCCCAGTAGAACGGAGCCGCAGCATCAGGACTCGGTTTGCCCAGGTGGTTCAGGTTGGCAAACAACGGGAAGTAAACAATAGAAAAGGGAACATCCCTGAAAGGAACAAAAGAAATAGTTGTTTCAGACTGAAACCCTGATACCTAGTAACTGGTCTGCCTCGTTACCATGAATAGGAGTTTCACCTGATCAGGGTGGCCCCCAGGCCTTTGTAGAGCCCCTGGATGCCGTGTGTGTGGAACAGCTCCTTAGCGATCTGAGTGGCAGAAACGGCTCGCGGTGCTGAGGACACGGTGCACGAGTTGAAGGAGCGGCTGAGCACCGTGTTGGTGGCCACCAGCTTGGTGGTGGACATCATGACGGGCTTCTGCTGCTGGGCCGCTTTGGACCGAAGACAAAATATGTTAATACACACACAATGGCAGTATTTGAGTAAAATGCATATTCAGATTATAATTCAGTATCAACGGTGTACTCTTCTCACCAAGTCTGCCTGCGTCCTGTAGCTGTATCTTGAGCATCTCCATGGGGGTGGTGACAACAACCTGACACATGCCTGCTCCACACCCAGCCAGCATCTCTTTGAACACCGTCAGCCCCTTTCTGTTAACACAGAGGAACACAAATCATTTAAATCCAGTGTATTGCTTAATATTTTTGTTTAAATTATGTTCTGATGACTCTGAGGTTGATGATTTTGCTTACCCATTTTTGGAGAGGTGTTGCCTGAAAAAGTCATTAGCAGCCAGCTTGATGGCCTTCTCAGGGGTGACCAGGGTCAAGTTTACAGCGGCACCTGAAATAAAAACACACACTGTCAGCATTGAAGTCACAATCAACAATTCACTCAGTTTCAAAAACATTTCCCTTCCACTATCTTTAACACCATAGGAATTGAATTAGTACAGAAAATCTACACAGATAGGAAAAATGTTCAATTTAAAGTAGCTTCAGCTATAAATCACGAGGGGTTATGTCAAAAGAAATAACATTACAATACATGAGTTTCAAAAGGAAAAGGAGAAACAAGCAAAACACAGGACGAGAGAAGAAATGAAGCGGGTGATGAATATCCAGAGGAAGATGCAAACACTATGAAGTACACAAGTCAGTTTATGATAAAGATGGTCCTCTTACAAAGAGAAAACTTTAAAAATGATAATGTGTGTTTCTATTGAAAGACAACAAGCGAGTAAGTAGGTTAATGACGACAACAGACAAGAGACAAGAAGAGATGTTGACAGACTAAATCCTCATATGGCAATGCACTGTGTGTGCAGACTTTGGGCAAACATGAAAAGCTGATCTGTGAGACTGTGGACCATCTATAACTTTAGTCTACCACAGAGGAGTTCTCAAAGTCAACCAAAGTCTGCAAGGACACACTTCATAGACAAAATGAGGATCTACAACAAGTTGACAGTGAAGAGGAAAACCAAGTAGTTATTGACGAGAAGTCCAAATATAGAACAAACAGATGGCAAAACAAAAACATGTGCCTATATTTTTAGATAGAGCAATAATGTAAGAACCATTATATGATTTGCCTCCAGCGTGGCTGCGCCTTATCGGCTAGCCTTCAATATCCCAGGGGGACCCAGGTCTGCAATATGAAAAACACAGATGCAAACAAACGGCATTCCTCACAAAAGCAGAGAACCAGACTAAAAAGCTCTCAATTTTCCTCACATTTAACTATGTCCACAAGTTTTTACTTCTTTTTGACAATAAAATGGATTAACTTATGATTAAACAGTGTTCTCTTACTCATTGCATGAATGCTATTCAAAATATCTTAAAGTGGCAAAACCACTCTAAATGAGAGCAGCTTTGGCCGCCTCACTTTCATAACTTTTCCCATTACTTTACTAATAACTGTAATTTTATAAGTGTAAGTAAATAAAGCAACCCATGCACTTAAAATACACTGTATATGAACCTTCAATAGCTGTAATCACGTAATAGATGTTCAACGAACATAAACACATCTTACTCTGTCCTACATCTAATCCTCTGCTACATGTTTCAGCCTACTGCTTCATAACATTCGTAGGTGCATAACTCTTACCTCTGTACATGCCAAAAAAGCCCTCTGATCGAACTGTCTTGACAAGGCAGTCCATCCTGAAGAAATAGAGAGCAAAGAAAATATTATTGGTCTGAATCATATAAAGTAGCAGATTGTAAAAAAGAATTTTACAGATGCTTACAAAAAAACCTGTTATTTATTACTATTATATATTTACAACATGTAACAGTGACATGTACGTTAGCATACAAGCTAGTTGGGCGCGTAAAATGGGCAGTACATTTCCACCCAAAGGCATTTGAACGCCTCATTGGAGAGGAATGAGAAAGATTTATATTTATCACGGTCCATTGAGTCAGGTATTCCCCTAAATCTAAAAAGTAATCATGACGTCATTGAAGGATTAGCTAAAATAGTACTGATGACACATGGACCTAGTAGGTATAGTGCCAAGAGATTTGGCACACAGAGCGTTGTCGTGTGAGACGGAAATACTTACATGCTCTTGTAGACCTGCTGTCCTGGTCTCTGATTCTGCAGTCTGGTCTTTGCCAAGTCAATGGGAAAGACACAAGTAACCCCAACAATGCCAGCAATACCTCCATTAATGAGCTTGGCTGGAAGACTGAAAAAAAAAAAAAAAAGTTATTATATTGGAAATGGCATTTACTGTAACTATAAAAACAGTGACAAATCAAATCAAATGAAAGTAGACGTAAAATTATGGCTGGAATAGTTTTTAGATGTGATACTGTTCTCTCAAGTTGCATTGTTCAGTTACATTTGATTATTATTATTAAAATCAGTGATGTCCTTCAAATTTTCTTAAGCCATAGTCCTTTCATGTCTTGTCAAACTAACTCAAATATGCTTGAATGTTTGTTGTGAAAATTACTCAAATGGTAATTGGTCACAATAGTAAATACATGTATCAGACTCACCTGTTTTGTTGCTGAGCCATGATGATTTTCAAAAAAGGTAAAGATAGAAGTGTAAAAAGGTAGTGATGTAGATCCAAATGTTCTTCAGTCAAATCAATAAATAGAGTCCTGGAGAGAGAAAACGGGAGGAGTTACTTTAGATATGAACAGGTTCCTCAGAAGTCGCAGACACTTGTGTTCATAGAGCTTATCCCATCCACAGCAGCCGGCTTTAGCTTATATACCTCAAAGTCACGGGACCGTGAAGCAGCAGTTCCGCTACTTGTAATATGAGTAGTGCAACCCGTGGGGTCGCATACCGGAACACCATACATGGGCATGACCATTTCAGTCATTGTTCAACATGACTGCAGACTAGCGTATTTTCAAGTAACATGCAGGCAGCAGTGTGAATGTATTCGTTGTAAACTGAGTTTTATCGGAATACTGTCCGTGCAAATCAACGCAAAAGAGCTCCCAATAGGCCAATACCTTAACGAGTTACTCTTTTCTTGCGATTCACGACTTTTTTTTCCAGAAAAATAAAATCTGCATTCATTATGTCAAGTAAGTGTTTATGTATAGCAGGAAGGTAAGATGTAGAGTCAACAGTTAGAAATAAATCATAAAAGCAATTATCATCATACAGGTTTGTCTCATAACATTTAAAGAGCAAATTCTTTAATTCGTTAGCTGTTACTAAACGTTAGCTAACGGAGACACCCATTCAGAAGAATTCCTTCCCTTAAAGCGGAGAAGTTGGCTATTGCAAACGACTAAATGACTTTTAAATGCATAATCTTATTATTATGAATGAAATTCAAAAGTTAGTACTCACCAAACGATTGTCTTGTATGCTTTAAGTAAGATTGTTTCGAGCCGTTAACTTCTGTTTCCGTGTGAGTCGCCGGTCTGCTGATATATAGCTACGAGGGAAGAGAGTGGAAATTTCCATTGAGCTCTAGACGGGGGCGGATCCACCAAGAATGTAAATCCGGAGCTGATTGGCTACTATTGAACCTTCTCTATTTTAATTGGAAGATCTACCAATCAATCGACCAATGCACCAATCATGCTTCTACAAATGAGTAAGGGGTGAAGAGAAGATCAAATAAACCATTGTTCGGTAAACAAACGCTTAGCAGCAATTTAATCATGATAAGTCTTTTGGAGAGGTAATCCCGAAAGTCGGTTTGATTGATTGAAAAGTTTATTAACAGCTTGTATATTGGGTACAGTACAGTACAGCTCAAAACATACAATTGTTAAGGGGATGCAGACCAGAGAAAGACTTTCGTCTTGTTTACATCAGGGTCCCCCATTTCCAATTCATCATAAGGGTGAAGGGTTAAGACGCGGTTTACTAAAAGATCTTTACTAGATGATCCGGTTCCTGGTCAAGTTCCCATTGTCTCTGTGTTAAGATCACCCTGGCCTTAAGATCATCCTGGAACATTCTGGTGAACTTGTTTGGGGTTGTAACTAGAATGATCCTAATTACCTTATTGATGCTATTTTGGGGTTAAAGTAACTAAACACATGAATGTAACATATGCATTTTTTTTCTCCAACTACATACATCTGACAGACACAGTTGCTATAAACAACTACATATACATATTTCTCCATACAAACCATATACCACCAGTTTAAAAAATACAGTGCATTGTTACCAGGAACTACCCTACAGGATGCAACAGTTACAATTGGCTCCATGCAGTTTTTACCTGCCTTCATGTAAATGCATTAGTAACAATCATAATAATATAATACATAAAATAAAAACAATATATGCCATGTAACTTAAGCAGGACAGACATGGTGTGGGGAACAATTGAGACTGAGCATTAATAAAAACCCTAAACTCACAGGTGTGTTTGTGTGTATAATACATTGGCAGGGAAACCAAATAATCTGCTAGGTCATGTTGTATATGCTCTGGCAGGTACTACTTAATTTACATATTTGATCTGATCTGTTCATGCAGGCTATAACAAGAAGGTTTTGCAAAAAAAGAGAAGCACAGCCAATGGCTTCACCTTACAAGTTTTTCATTTTTGAATATTGATGTAGAAAATGAAACAATGTCCATCTGTTGCTAAGGTTAAACCAGGAACTAATGTCTATGGAATTACTCAAAGGGGTTTTGTTGCATGAGCATCTAGTAAATTCTACTGAATAGGTTTAAATTGCAGATGACTCAAATGCACCGCACCCACAACCAGGTATGTGCCATAGAAAAATTACAAGGTATATAGGCTGAAGGCAAGAGGGCTCTTGTTTAAATGTAAACTGGTTTCTCGAAGAGGTTGGTGTGCGAAGGCACAGTAACAGTAGTAGTAGCTTTGTTAAGGTGTACTTACGCACAGTGATTTAAGGAGCTAAATGCTCACAGTTTAGCATGTTAGCATGCAGTCATTTACCTATTAGCAGTGATTATGTCATCAATTAAAGTATTGCAGAAGTGGAAATTCTGAGATATAGGCGCTATAGTAGAAACAATAAGGTGTCATAATATTTGTTACAGTTCAACTTGAAGGGAACATGAATGCGAGTACTAAAAACATCTTAATCCATTCAATAGCCATTGAGATATTTCAGTCTAGACTGAAAAAAAGTCACATTTGTTCTAGTTGAATAAACAAAACACAAACAAAACTGTATGGTTTGTCTCAATGAAAGAGTGGTCGGTATGTGCGTCACATGGCTGTTTTCCTGGACTGCTGATGGAAGCAAATTCCAATTCATCCACTGCTTTTTCCAGTCTGATGATTGTAGAGTTATGTCAGGTCAACTTTTTGTATAAGGTATACAGCATAATTAACCCTCTAGTGAGGTGGGTTTATGAGTAAAGTCAGGCTAGATCATATTGATTCATTGAACTCAGGAAACCATTTTTTGTTGTTATGTTGGTTACAGGATAAGTAGCAATATTGAAACTGAAAAACAAAGACATAAACAATGGACCATAAATCCAGGAATGTTCAATTTGACAGCAGAGTGTCAAGGTTAAACAGTGCCGGTCTGTGGGAAGTTGAAGAAGCTTCCTCAAGGTTATGGGCTATAGGGTTCAGCATTAAAAACCGGTTTACATTCATAATTTCCCACACTTAGCTAGACCACATTTGGTTTGTTCTACCTCTGCCCCAAAAATATAAGGTTTCTAACTTTATGATATGTGTCAGGGATAAGTGGCACAGAGTCAAAGCTTGACATGGGGAGCAATGCAGATGTAGACAACTATTGTTCACTGATGAAAGTGAAACAGAAATTAACTTTCTGCCATTCATTTAACATCTTTTTGGTTGGCCTTCAGTTCACCAGCTTCCTGTTAAATTTGATATTTTATTAAATATCTCAATATCTGAAAAGCTGCTATAGAGCTGCAACACCAATGAATAACACTTATAATGCTCTGATACGTACAGTTAGAATCTGAGCCTTACAAGATAGCTCTTAAGTCAACAAAGAGACACTTGAATAAGCAAATGAAATGTACACTGACGGAGGAATGTTGTAAATACAGAAGTGAGATGAATATAACCTAAGGTGAGGAAAGGGCAATGTAACAGAGTTCCACATGATGGACTTCATAGTCAGTTTCAACTTTGAACTACTGTGCTATTAATAAGCTCCAGCTGTCTCCCTCCAGAATTCACTGTGACGATGGGAAACAATAAATTGACGCTGTACTGTTATTAATGTAGACATATCTACTCAACAAATTGGTAAAGACAATTGTCATACTGTAATTTTGGAGATTGGTAATTCTTCTGCCTTATCTTTGTGGACCAACATGCTCACTGATAATCCATTTGGTAAGAAGAGGTGAGTTAACGATCATGTGCCTTCAGAATGACGGATGTGGCAAATATAGTATCCTGAGGTGACATTGTGGAGCGTCATGGCCTTGTGATTGTGATGTGGAAGCTACTGTAGGGCTCTGTACAGGATGTGATTAAGTCAAACACAGCTTAGTCAGAGAGCTATTTAGAGACGTCAGCTTTAATTGAGTTGAATTCAGAGTATCCCAGAGTAAACATAATACGTCTGGGAGTCACACACACACACACAAGGGTACAGGAGGATAAATAATGACGCTGACTAAAATGTGCGCCAGGATCAACCCTGCATTGTAAAGTGAGTAGCAGGGCTGCAGCACAAGCACGCTTGGCAACAAAGACACAATAAACAGTCGGGAACAATAGGTACCAGAACAGACAGTATAGATAACTCTGTATCCATCACCAACTAAAGGATGGTGTTTGTTTCATCTAAAAACATTCATGACTCATGCAGCTGCTGGGTCGTTTTAACAGTAAAAAGAGATAAGCTGATACCAGGAGAATCAGAAAGGGATCATGTAGTTTCTCTGGCCAGGGTACGGGTAGAGACTTCTCACTGGTTTGGTACAGCGAGCTCTGTCAGGGCCGGCCCTCTGTATGCACTCATTGCTGTCCGTCCTGCAGGCCCCACAGTGGCAGCTGAGGGCCACGGGGTAGGTGAAGACGGGGTTGGAGTCCACGGGGCAGCCGGGCAGTACGGCCGCACGGTATTCCACCTTGTCATAGGTACAGCCTCGCTGGATCAGGAAGCGTGTGCGGAGTGGGTGCTTCAGGTTACTGTCCTGCTCAACAAACAGTACACAAACACATCATCAACTCATTATACATTTCAAATCCTTGAAAACAAACAACATTTTGTAGATTTTTATCTTAAAATGGGATAAATCCAGCCGTGGCTCTGTCTCTTTGTCAGGGTTGAGGTCAAGGCCCCCTTAGGCCCCTTGATCAATAGCCAACAGACATATTTACATTGAGGTTGAAACTGAATTGTTGATTAATGTAAACTTTTCTAGGTAAATAAATAATGCAACAAGTGTGTTGGTTAAATGTTACAGTTTTTCTAAAAGATCACCTATGTTTTAAATCTGTTTGTTTTTCATTTGTTTCTGACCCTTTTGAGTTTTATATTTTCCTTAAATACTTTTGCATCTATCTTCTATTTACACTGGTTAACGGTCAAACGGAAATGTGTTTTGACTGAAAAAAAAGATTTCTTAAAGTGGATGACAACTTTAAACCATTCACAGTTTCGAATTTGTATTGGCCATGGTGAAACAATAAACCTTTACATCAATCACTTATATGACAATCTTTATTTTTCCAGCTGAAGAAATGAATGAGAATCTACGTCAGACATACCTTTGAGTAGCAGAATCCCATGCAGATGGTTGTGTTGATCGCCACACAGTAGCCACACTCTGGCCGTTCCACATACAGGGTGAAGTCTGTGGGTAAACACATGGGAACAGCTGGGCTGAACATCAGGAAAAGGAGCCAGCTGGTGAACACTGCAGTCTCCATGTCAAGCAAAGGGATTTATTTCCCAAATAAACTTGGGATCTGCATGGAAAGGAAATATAAAGACACACATTGTCAACCAGAGATCAGCAAGGACATAAAGCGTATAGTATCTTAATTATGATTTGCTCCTTTTTGCATGTGAGAGTCACCTGCTCCAGAGATGCAGGACCTGATGATTGTGAGTTTGAACATCCCTCATGAACAGTATTTATGCAAACTTTTTCGTATCCAAGGTAGCAGTTATCTTCTATCTGTGACGAACAGACAGGACTTAGTGTTTAGTCCATTAGTTGAGTGACATGAATTAATAATTATTTGAATGATCAAAGTTTATGTAAAACAAAGCAAAGTGACGCAATTGATTCTAAATGAACTGTAGATCCTGGGCTTGTTCAGTGTCCACTAGATGTCACAAAATGCCTAAAAGCATACATTCTTGGAAGGATGCATATTTTCTAAAGCACTTTTACATTTTAACCAGAGTTGTACTTGTTTTTCCAAAACAAACATAATCTGTCCCTCATTTGGATAAAAATTAACTAGAGAAAAAAACACTTTTTGAACTAGATAACATGTCTGAGCACTTCTGTCAATGTGCATGTGGAAATGATGCTTCATGCATTGGTGGTTCCAAAAATCCACACCAGTTAGCAAAGTTTATGCAAGACTTTCACAAACGGTACAGTCCAAACTTGTTATAAACATGAGTAAAACACATTCAGAGTAGGGTTATCTAATCTTTTGTCCTAGTACAGTGAGTCAACTGAAAACTGTAGCAGTAGATGTTACAGTTTATCTCTAAACGTCAGAGATAGAGGCTTCGAGCTACTGACCAGTCGGTATGTTCACTTGAGCCAAAGCTGCATGGATTTCCTTATCCTCTTTTTGTTTAATGATTGTCAAGGGTAGTCAAACTCTCTCTGGCACATTCTTTTTGTCATTCCAATAGAAAGTACCTTGTCTGCCATCAGCACAAACCCCAGGAGCACCACCTTTTACAATCACTGGAAGGCTGACTTGAGTACCATGTGTCCTTGATGGATTATTAACTAAAGTAAGCTAATCTTTATAGTCTGCAGAAAACTAGTCTGTAAGTGTCTTATACCTCTACTATCAGCTGGAGCAACTCTGATAGTTGGATTGCAAAGCGGAAAAACAGCGTTGGACTAACGCCTCAAACTCTGGATTTTTCTCTTCTTTGTTGAAAGGACATTTTAAGGATGAGTGCAGTTTATTTACACCCGTCTCACATTTGACACAGCTGGCTTTCTCTGACTTCTACTTATGTTTTGGTTTGTGTACAACTGGAGTTTAAGACAGTTTCAGGCTAAATTAAAGGGAAGATCCTTCAACATTAGAAACAACAAATAATTCAGAAGCATTCATAACAAGAGTTCAGAGAGAAGTGTTGGTGAAAGCTGCTAAACTAACCATGACTGGTGCAGGTGGTCCAGTGGCCACTTTCTCCGTGTGGGATTATGTGGTGTTTGCGGGAACTATTTTGGCTGCAGCCGGCATTGGCCTTTTCCAGGCCATCCGAAGCCGCAAGGAGACCAGCAGTTCTGAGTTCTTGCTTGGTGGACGACAAATGACAGCTGTGCCTGTTGCCATGTCGCTCACTGCCAGCTTTATGTCTGGCATCACGGTCATCGGCACACCGGCTGAGGCCTACCGCTTTGGAGCTGCCTTCTGGCTCTTCGGCTTCTCCTATGCCATCATGTCTGTTATCACCGCTGAGGTCTTTGTCCCACTATTCTACAGACTGGCAATCACCAGTGCCTATGAGGTACGGAAATGATTAAAATATTACAAAAGCTGGCACCAAACACCTTGGAATATAACAATAATTGGAGCATGCATGCTTTATTGATGGGCACTTTTACAAGTTAATGTGGCTGCACTTTATTTCGCAACATGGCTGTAGCTTGTTTAAAGGGTTTTACTGTTATCCATTGCTGTACAAAATCTGCCATAAAAGCATTTCCTCCGATAATTGGGCAGACATTGGAGTGGAAAACAAATAAAAAACACTTTGCATATTGTGTAAATGTGGATATATAAACCAAATGAACAGTTTACTGAAGTGTGACTGTCTGTTTTCCTTCCATTTCTAGTACCTGGAGCTGCGCTTCAGCCGGCCCGTTCGTCTAATTGGGACAACAATGTACATTGCTCAGACGGTAACTAAAACATGCTTTTCAAACATATTCATGGGTTGCTATGTATTTAGATAATTCAAAATAACATGATAAATGTAACATGGTGAAAAGCACCTGTTTTGCTTCATGTAAAATGGATTCTTGATACCAATTTCAAGATGAATATGAATCACGTTTGATGTGTTTCCAACTAATCAGCTAATGGGAGCACTTTTTTTCAGATCCTGTACACCGGCATGGTCATCTACGCCCCAGCTCTTGCACTAAATCAAAGTAAGTCTGCTGCAGCAGTTATGAATAAAGAGTTCTTCAGTCGTCCAGAGGTAACCTGTGTTAGATTTGATTTGGCCTGAAAACAGAGTTTATACTGTTCAATACTGATAGATAGGACAGATGGTTTCTCTGTCTCATGTTTAACTTCAACACAGATTTAACCTAAAACTAAAAAAGCTGAGTATGTGTTTTCTTTTTAAATACAACATTTTTAGGAGGTTATGAGAGCGGCTCGGATTAACTAAAATGTCTCATGGTGTTATGTCTCAATGCATTTGTTCTGAAATCATAAAGGAGTTTTTCTGTGGTTACTCAGTCACAGGGCTGGATCTATGGGGAGTGCTGGTGGCCACAGGAGCAGTGTGCATCGTCTACTGCACTTTGGTCAGTATTCTGCATTTCATATAGTATTTATTGTAGTAAATACATGATCTGCATACCAACCCGGGCGCCGTTCATAATGGCAGCCCACTGCTCCTAACACTAGGATGGGTCAAATGCAGAGAAACCATTTAGTTACATAGTACCTGTACTATGTAATGACAATAAAAGTGCAAAAAAAATTAAAAATGTTTCAAACTAAACTTATTTTTACAGATTGTACACACCTATTTAGGTGTGCGGTTAATTACACCGTCAGATCTGCTTGTGAAACTAAAGTTGTCAAAGTTGATTTATAATTGTACACATTTGAAATTCACAGCATGAAGCCTCAACTAGCACTACATTGGAAAGATCTTCAACATTACTTGGAAATGATAAGCTGACAGGAACTTGGATTTGTTTCAGGGCGGTCTGAAAGCAGTGATCTGGACGGACGTAATGCAGATGGTGATCATGCTGGCAGGTTTTGTGGCGGTTATAGCTCGAGGAGCCGTTCTGCAGGGAGGCCTGACCAATATTTGGGAAGATGCTGGCAAAGGAGGCCGACTAGATGCGTTTGAGTAAGTACACCAGCAGAGTTGTGGAGGATAGTATTTGTTGTTGGTTTGTTTTAAACAGATTATGATGTCAGATGGGCGGGGCTTCCATAATCAGATCAATTAGACTGCACTGACAGAAAAACCAATTCGATTAACTCCGGTAATTGTTTCCTGTGACTAACTGCTTGTGTATACACGAAAGGAAGGTTCTAAGGAAACTGTTAATTAAATATCAATAATTTCTGTTTATTCACTGGAAAAACAGAAACGTTGACTGTATTATGCCTATAGGGTCAGCTGAAAGCAACAATATACTGTTATTATTCAAACTTAATATTATTGCTTTTAACTTACCGAATACAATTATCAGTAATTTGTTGACATAATACATTTCATTAAATTCAACTTTTTTCTCAGTGTTGATTTAAAAGACCTTTCTTTACCAGATGTTTGTGCTGTTGAGGTCCCCAAACAATCAAACCCACATGTTGTTGACTTTTAGCTTTGACCCGGACCCTCTGAAGAGACACACTTTCTGGACTATCGTAGTCGGTGGCAGCGTCATGTGGGTGTCCATCTACTCCATCAACCAGTCCCAGGTGCAACGCTACATCTCCTGCAAAACCTTGCGACATGCCAAGATGTGAGCGTTCCTGCAATGCTAAAAGTATATTGTTAGATGTGAGCAAAGGTTTGTGCACTGACTCGTCTTCTTTAACATCCCAGGTCTTTGTATGTGAACCTGGTGGGCCTGTGGCTAACTGTGAGTCTGGCTGTGTTTTCCGGCCTCACCATGTTCTCCATTTACAAGAACTGTGACCCACTTGAAAACGGTGACATAGACACACCTGACCAGGTAACCACAGCTGTTATAGTCTCATCATCTCATGGTCATCATGCTGTGTGTCACAAAGCATTATTGTTAACTGTAAAATGGCTATTCTTTGGAAACCAGATGCTGCCGTACCTTGTGATGGATATCCTGGCAGCCTACCCTGGAATCCCTGGCTTGTTTGTGGCTGCTGCATACAGTGGTACCCTTAGGTACCCTGAGACAAACATGGAACATTTGTTATAGTTTATAAGGAATAAGGAAAGGATCTTGTAGATAAGATACAATGATGAGTAAAAATGAGCTGGCAGTACCTGGGTTATGTTTTCGTCCTAACTCCATGTCATTGTTTTTATGACGAATGAGAAAGTCATTGTTGGGTTCTAGTAATTTTATGCACGCATGACGCACGAAACGACCGTCTGCATGCTATCTGAGACTAATCCTACCTGTAATCTAAATGGCCATCTAAATGCATAAGACATCCTGTTCTATTCTAAAAGGCTAAAAGCTAACTGTTGTATATTTTTCAGCACAGTGTCTTCAAGCATTAATGCTCTTGTTGCTGTCACTGTGGAGGACTTTATTCTTCCAGTGTTCAAAAACCTCACAGAGAAGCAAGTTTCCTGGATGAACATGGGCCTCAGTAAGTTCAATATACTTTCACGTCAGCACAAAAATGAGCAAGTATCATAAAAAGTGTGATAAAGACTAAACTACTCCCAAGAAAATGTTTTATGAAGACAGTTTTGCTGTACAACCTTACATATCTCATTATTTAAAGAGATACAGTCCGTTCTGACCATAAATACCACAGTAATTGTCTTACAGTGTGACTCCTTGAAGCTCATAAAATACTAGTAGTAGATAACCATTATCTTATGTTATTCTTCCAAAGAAATATAATTGTTTCCAGTTGCACTGTTCAAGTTACGACATGACCAGAAATGTGGTAATACAATAAATGAAACCATTATTGGAGAAAAGCTTCTAGAAGCAGATTTCGCAAAGCTCCATGTTGTACAAACAGTGGTTAATACCTCAATTGGCTGAAAAAACCCTGCAAAGGTTGAAACACGTAGGTAAACTTGGGAGGATCAAAGTTGTGGTTTCCATTATTACTTTGAAGTTAAACCCTTTATTAGTTAATTACTTGGAAGATAAACCCTTTATTAGTTGCCCATAGGATATATTTAATTTAATACAGGTTACATAACCAAGTGTTAATGATTACAAATAAAACTAGTGATGAATGGATTAACCACACATTCATTTTGCTCAAACTGACACGTGCCCTTTATATGACAATGTGTTTCCTTCCTAATGTAATTTATATATGTGTAACGTCTCCTGACAGCCCACAATCATATGTGGAATTATTTTTTAAATAACATCAACGCCTATGAACTGACATTAACTAAATTCAACGCGTTGTATGACTTTTCAAGAACAGATACCCTGGAAATACAAGACAACATTCAAAATACATTGAGACCAAAAACCGCTAAATTATAAAAAAACATTTGTCTCTGAAAGCTGTGTTTAGATCCTTTCTTTCATCTTAACAATGCTGATTTTAACACCTCCCAGGTGTTTTCTTTGGTGCCGTGTGCATTGGGATGGCTGGAGTTGCATCAGCCTTGGGAAGCATTTTGCAGGTGAACACCATGCACTCATGTACTGTATTGCTCTACTGCCCCACCAAGAGCTGAACACCATGAACTACAAGCCTTCTGATCGTTTTCTTTTCACAGGCAGCTCTGTCCATATTTGGCATGATCAGCGGGCCTCTTCTTGGTCTTTACCTATTAGGCATGCTATTCCGCACATCAAATTCAATAGTGAGTATTTCCTTTTACCCTAGCATTCTTTTTGAATGTGACGCATCCAGGAGGTATTTGACTGCACCATGTTTACTTTGCAGGGAGGGCTCGTGGGAATGATGAGTGGCCTGGTGTTGACTCTGTGGGTGGGGATTGGAAGCCAGATCTACCCCCCCACAGCTGAAAAGACAAACCCTCTCCCAGTCTCCACTGTGGGCTGCAACAGCACAATGAGTCAAAACGTCACAACCCCAGCTCCATGGACCAGTCCCGTGACTCTGACCTCACAGCCCCAGTGAGTTATTCATGACACACAGGGGCGTCTGCTGCCACTCACATGACATGAGCAGAGCCAAAACAACATTAGCATTTTCATTTAGCAAATGTATACAAATTATAGAAATGTTTCCAAGCTTCATATCTGACCCGCAAAGACTTCAATTTGCCGGTTTATTACAAAAAGTAAAAACTCTAAACACATATAAATAAAAAATAAAATGATTTAGCTGTTGTCAAGGATGAATGCTCCCAGAGGGAATGCTTGAATGCTTTATCACTATATTAATACATGTCATTAAACTTGATAATATATGCTGAACCCACCGCTTTTCTGGACTACATTTCAGAAATAGATTTTTATACAGGGTTTTGATGCTTTTCAAAATAATTTCTGAAATACAAAGTGCACAGATAGAGACTATATCCAAAGAACCTCAGTCTAGATTTATATATATACTTGAGCAGCAGTTACTTGCTTTATTAATACGTCAATTGAGAGAAAATCAACTATTTCAACAAGCTATTCATTCCTCAGGGCATTTTAAAAATGGCAACTTTTCACATGTTCCAGTTTCTTAAAGTGATAATTTGCGGATGTTTCTCTGTTTTATATTATTGTTTATTAAAATATATTAGGAATTTGGACTGTACGTTGGACAAAATGATTATAAGATGAATAATCGATAATAAGGATAAACGATAGTTGCAACCGAGGTTCATGCAGTATGCCATCAGAAGAAAAGTGTCATTAATGTTGGCGTAAGGAGTGCAGAATAACATGAGGACATAATGTAACGATGTCCTCTGTGTTTCAGTGAGAGGCCGCCTCTGGCAGACTCCTGGTACTCTCTGTCCTACCTCTACTTCTGTCTCCTGGGTACGCTCACCACGATGGTGGTTGGCCTGCTGGTGAGCATGGCCACAGGTGAGACATCTCCTTTACCATTACCTCCAAATACACATACATTCTTGTGTTGGTGAAATATTTAACAGTATAATGTAAATCTACAATTAGAACTGTTATGGGAATATGTTTCCATTTGCGTTCAGGTGGATGTAAGCAAGATGAAAAGAACCCTGATCTGTTTGTGAAGGCGAGTGACCTGTTTAGCTTCAGCTGCTGTGGTAAATCAAAGGTAGGAGAATAACCCCTTTGTTATATAACAAGTAACAAAGTAAGGATATATGAAATACAGATGTGTATATTTTGTCACGTGTTAGTAATAGTTTGTTCTCACTCCATTACAGGTATCAGAAGTCACAGAAAAGTCTGCAACAGACTTTAATACGGGGGCTGACAACCCAACATTCACAGACTTTGAAATGAAAAGCAAAGATCCTGAAAGAGCCACCAAACTGTGACACTGCTGCATTCATACATATTTACTGAAAGGAGAGATTTTAATATCATTATTTTTATAAACATGATAATGACAACTCAATGATTTTGCTGCTTGATCCCCTGTGCATTACATTTGTGGAAACAATTGTTTTTACAAATCGTCCATTACCGTGTATTTATGTTGATGTGTTTCAAACATGTTTCTTGAATTTCAATAAAACATTATGTATATTTTACATTGAGAAAGAGCTTGACAACTTGTCTTAAATTGAGCTTTAAGAATATAAAGAAAATCCAAATCTGTCTTTGGATGTTACTACCCTACTGAGGTGATTTTAATAATTGAAAAAAAAGAAAAATAACCCCTGAGTTAAACCAGGACATTTCTGCTGTTTTAGTATTCATCAGAACAATAGGCTTTGAGACCACAGTCACCTCATATTTGATCTCACTATGACAGAGCTGCTCTCATGTCCTGTTAAGCAGTGATGTGTTCACACATGTGTTTTACTTTCATTGCCCTTTGTTCAATTGTTCTCTTTCACGGTGTCTGCTAGCTCTATGTTCTCTACCTGAACATTGTCCTCCTTCATGTCCTGCTGACAAAGGCACAATGAAACACTGTTTGATATACTACAAAATGTATGATGACATGGCCATGTGTTTGTATTTGTTAAGTGGCTGGTTATGTTGGGGGGGAATTGTGAACTTTTTTTAGTAACTACCTATATGAATTTGTCACAAATTCCACCCATTATTAAAGATTTGATAAACCCTTGTACACAAGCATGCAGAAAACCCCAGTGAGTGTATGACCTCTGTATGTAGAGTGACCATATATGACAGTGAAACTAAGAAACTCTGCAGTTTCTGTTCTACTCAGGGCTGTAAAAAGTGTTTGAACTGAGCAATAAGGAAAAGACCGAGAGTGAGCTTTGGTCTGGATAATAAACGTGTCATTTGTCTCCTTGGCAACATACAATGGAGGAAGGTTACAAAGCACTGACCTGCCCACTTTCACCTGCCACTGCGCCAGCAAATCCACACGAGCTGCACAAGGTTTACAGGAAGTGGAGTCAGTCGTAGCATGGAGGCAGACTCGCTGCCAGTGAAGTGAGCCCAGTTTGTTTTCACTGATACCGACAAAACAAGGTGAGTCAGATCTTACATTTACTTCCTTGATCAAGATTTGAACTTAGTTTAGCTTTTACATAGAGTAAGAGGGAGATTAGAAATGATTATATTTAATAAAATCAGAGTTGGTATGCCATTATGTGTTTTAATGTGTCTGATCTTTGCTGGATTATATTGATTAATGTAGTAGATATGACCTAGTTATTAAAAGGTCAAACACCATGTTTAAGATGTTGTTTTCACAGGCTTACGGTTTAAACATATATTACCAAGATACGGGAAACATATTTTACACTGTTTCTGGAAGTGCTCATGTTTTGTTTACCATTACAGGACTTAATAGTCATGGATACCATCTCTGCTGGTCTGGCTTATTGCCTTCTGGCTCTTTCTATTGCTGTGGTACAAGCGGAGAATATCACTACTATCAGACCTATAATACCAACCCCCAGTTCAAACATGACAAACGGAACAACAATGGTACCTTCACCTAACTCTACTGTTATCTCAAATTTGACCGAAAACACGACTCCTTTCACCAGCACAACCCGAGACAATGAGACATTCACAGGAAGTACAGCCGCAACAAATGAGAGCACAAGTCACCCATCTCAGGCGACTGCTCTAACAAACACTACATCACAAATAACCACGACACCTGGCAATCACACACCGACACTCACTGCACAGACAACACCAGCAACACAGACCACAGCAGGTAACATGAGTACACCGACTGCTACAGTAATTACAACTGCAACCTCATCACACACCATCAACACAACGTCAGATTCAATGAACAGAACCACACAAGGTAAGCAGGCTTCAGTTTTCAGTTTTTGATTTAATTGCTCATTGTAGGTTTCTAATGTGTTCCTTTTTCCCTGTTGCTAGGTTTGCGACTGAACATTTCAGAAAAGAATATGACTATTGTTTTCAGCGTTGTACTCGGAGTATTTGCTCTGGCATTGGTTGGGTTCATGTTTCACAGATGCAAACATAACATCCAATACTTGCATCAACCTCTCAATAACATTGATGACACGGGTAAGGACTTTCCCTTCCTCACACAATAAGTATATTCTGTTTTGCTTATCATTACCAGTTTAACATACCTGGTTTTCAGCAGATGCATTTGTGGCAGACGATGACACACTCGTGATTTCTGGAGGACTTTATGATGGCCACCCGATATACGACAACGTTCCAGAAGCCCCAGCAGCAGACCGATCTCAATTCCGTCTCCAGTTCCTTCATTAAGGACCGAGTTCCTGCAGCTTTGGTGATTGAAACTGTTTTCCTCTTCCCCAAATGAGTAGAGAACTTCAGGACTGACATTTCACCCATGAGAAATGTCAAAATGATTCATAAGAGTCTGACAGCAGAGAGGACAGCCAAAACAATGATGGGCAGAACATTGAAACAAGGACAATGCTGATTGATTTGAACATCAATTTTATTCACTAAGCTGTCAATACTAGAATACAGAAATACATTAAATATATTAAGATAGCAACACGTAACTACACTATTTCTCACAACAACAATATAAACTTGTGCAGATCAAATCCATTTCATGTGAACACCAGTAAAGATCAGTCTTTACATACAGCAGAACTACAACAAACTGATTTTTTCTAACGCACCTAAACGCATTGAAGGGGACTCTGCGGTCATTTAAATGACCTTATAGCCAAACTTGCTTGAACAGCTGGACAATGAACACTTTTGATAACAAGACTGTTTAACTGATCAACCTATCTAATCTTTTGTGCATGTAAAGAAATAAATTGGCCTTTTGTTATTAATGATACAGTGTGTTCAATTCTTACCGATGCTATTTGTGAACAATAACAAAGTTGAAACATGAACATCTGAACTAAAACCTTGTAAGGGTTATCTGTCCTGTGACCGCACTATTTATGCAAAGATCTTGTCATTGGTTGTCTTCTTCTTTTTGTCACAGCCCGTAACAGCCGTCCAACCAGCATCTCGCATCCTTTTCATTGCTGCTAACTTCAAGGAGTTCCCTGGTGATTTCTGAGAGACGGGGCTTTGGATCTGAAAAAACAATGATCCATTTTTGTATAAATAAAAATGACATGCGATAGTTTGTTTTTATGTCTATGTATACAATGCATCAACTTTTTTTTAAATAGCATGTTACCTTTTTGAAGATATTGAACTTGCGGTGTGGAGCGGAAACATCTGGTATAGGTGTACTAGCAAAGGTCTGCCAAGAAGAGAAACAGAAGACTAAACCAGCTCTTTTGGCAATCATGCACTTTTATCAGATACAACTCACAAAAACAATGATACTATGTACTTACTGTGTAATTCAATACACCAACAATCAATACAAATACAACTCACCAAGAGATCATGCTGATCAGAGCTATCAGACTTGTCCGACAGCACTAAGGTGCTCTTTCCCCAGCCTGATGCCTTTTCAGAAGAAGGAGGAGTCCTTATTCTGTAGGACTGAATAAAACAAATCAGAGCGTTAATGTCCGCACGTCATTCAAATATTTGTTTTCTTTATGGAAAATGTCAGAATAATCCACTATATTACTTTGATCTTTGATGTTCCGCCAAGTCTGTTTGTAGTACTTCTTGGGGTTTTTAGGTCTTCATTACGAAGTTCCTTCAAAGGGAAATCAAGGTCAGTCGGAGTTATAATGAAAGCAACAACAGACTCTCTATCATCATCATCACCAGTAAACATTTGTATGTAAATGTACTGTTGTCTACCTTGGTCTTTGGTGTTGTTCGAGAGGATCTTCTGATGGATTCAGTGTAGGATTCCTAACATATGTATAATATTAATGCAGGTAAATTGATTCCTTGACAACCAAAAATGTATTGCAATATCGTTCCATAACAGCCTTACTGACCATAATCACTATGGACATGCAGTCCATAGTGATTATGGCACATGAACATACAATACACAGCCCTGAAACTGCATTGGATGTGTATTCATGTGCAAGAGAGTTATCATTTCAGTATGCGTTGTATTGTTGAATGGTTACAACTTGACATCCATGGTAGGAAGATGGTCTGAATTGGACTAACAGGTGAGTTAAAGAAAAGATCTGCAGTGTCTTTGAGTTAAGACAACTTCATGATTTGATTCCTAACTCACCTAAACAATTAGGGATGTGTCTGAAATAAGAGCATTTAGTCTATCTGTCTAAAGGACTCTGGTAGGTACTGTAACTCACAGCTTTCTTCATTAATGCAGAACTTCCCTCATTGTTGCTGGAGGAGGGAGTTCTCCTGGTTTTGGTGAAGTCAAACAAGTGTCTCGTTGAAGAGCTCTCTCTTGGAGTCTTAGAGCTTTCCCCTTGGGTATAGTTTAAGGCAGGTGCCTGGAATGTTAAAGATCAAGTACATGTGAGAACAAACCACCTCATCAGTGCTAGCATATTCGCCGATGAACGGATATTTGTACCTGCTTGTCCCTTGCCTCTGACAGCGGAGTCATTTTCATAGATGACATTTCTTTCTTGAAGTCAGCCAGCTCCTTCTGCAGTTTTTCCTAATAGGATTAAAAGTGTTTCATAAAGAACTCTCTCAAAAGCTATTTCAGTGAAAAAAAGGGGAACGATATAATTTACCTGATTCCAACTACTACAGTAACTAGGACATACCTTTTCTGTTGTTCCTGCCACCAGCTGTTGCTTCAGTTGATCGTTATCCGTCTTGTGCTTTGCAAGTTCCAAGTCCTCATTTTTTAAATGTAGATTTGACATAATTCATTTGTTATCAAATAATCGTTGATTTCATTGTATATATATATATATATATTCAATTATGCATTAAATTGTGATTTTTTAAAAACACCATACCAGTGATTCCCGATGTGCAACAGCCTGTATCTCTTTCTTCTTTGTCTCATCAAGCTCTGCATCCTTTTCTTCAACCATCCGGTCATACTGGCTCTAATGATAACAAATACATTTCCAATTCAACATGTGTTTGGAGTGACAATCATGTTGTAAAAAACTATTTTTAGACAGCACAACATGTGCTTTTTGATGAGGTTACCTTATGTTTCTCCATCAGAGCGACCATATCTGCTATTTGGTGTTGACACTTCAGTTCTGCGTCTTCTTTGTTCTTGGTGGCCTCTGCTGCTGTTGATTTGAGCTTTTGTACCTGTTAGACAAAGTGTTTTTATTCTTTATTTCTTATTATGAGGAGTTGAATATGTGGTTAATCACATAACAATAAATAAGCAACCTCAATCTCAAGCTCTGCTGCCAAGGTTGATTTGGCCTCAAATTCCTTTAGCAATTTCTGACGGTTTTCTTCGTTCAGCGTTCTAAGGCTCTCGGCCTCCTCATGGAGATTGTTGATCTTAAGACAAAATCAATCATTTACATAATGCAGGGTTATACCGTTTATATCAATGTGTAGAACTAGTAGGGGAAACCACCATTTCAAGTTGACTGGATTGTGCCTTCTCCTATGACATTTGTTTCTTAAGCGTTTCATGTGAAAGTACACGATGGAGCCGTTCGCTGAATGACTTCAGGTTCAGGGCACTCACTAACCTCTTTCTGGTATTCCTCCTGGGCTTTCAGTTTGATTTCAAACTTTTTCCTGAGACTGCGCAGCTAAAAAAACAAACAATTTCTAGTTATTTTCAAAAAGAAGGAATAATAATAGTGTTTTTCATGTTGTTTTTTCAAAATTCAATCACCTTGGTTTCCACAGATTTGATCTGTTTTTGTTTTTCTGCAATTCCCTCCTCCAGACGTTCATACTATAAACAGAGATCACAAACACATCCTCCTGTAACACCTTCACAACAACCCTATTGTTCATTGGGTTGGTTGGCATACTTACATTTGCTTCAAACTTCTTCTGCAGAGTCTCAGTTTCTTGACATTTCTCTTGGCTCTTGTTCTCAATGGACTTCACTTCCTCTCTATTTAACAAAGATAAATACCATTTTACCTGAAAAACGACACAATGTCTAACCTCTTAGGTCTTCAACGTGCCAACTCACCGTAGACCTTGGTTTTCTTCTTCCAATCTTTGAATTTGTTTTGTGAGTTTCACAGCCTTCTTTTCACTAACCTGTTTAGTCAAACCCACTTTCAGAATGTGTCCTTCATGATACAGCCAGTAATAATGCAAACAAGTTGATATACACAAGATAATGATCTAGCTGATTGGGTCATTCATACCTTCAAGTTTTCCTCAACTGCTTTCACACTCGAAGATCCGCTCACAAACTGCTGCTGAATGACTGTCTTCTCACAATGCAGCTCATTAAAGTTGGCCAATAGCTCCGTGTACTTATCCCTTAAGAAATTACATCAATTAAACATCAAAATTACAAACATGTATTTATATTGTATAATGCGCTGGCTGGCTACTAAGAGCTCACTCATGCTGATGGATGTCTTGTCTCAGTTGCACCATCTGGAAGGTATGTTCTTTATTTGTCTTTACTTCTGTGAACAGTTGTCCCTCCAGCTGCTGCACTTTGACCTGAGGGTATATAACACATAATGTGGTGAAGCTATGTGTTGAGTAAAGTACACCATATCAATCATTTGTTTTTCTTCTGGGAACTTCCCAGACAAATTCCCCGCAGTGGGTAAGAGGTCATGAGTGCAGCAAGATAATGAAAGATATCTACACCTCAGTCACTCTGGATTTCTCCTTCAAATCTTCTTGTGCTTTTTCAGCAGCTTCACAAACTTCCTTTAGTAGATCATGTTCTGCTTTCTCAATCTCTGCATCATTCTGTATCAACACAAATATAATAGGGCTTACATTTTAAGGTACACACAATAGACTCCCTATTCATTGGGAGAAGAATGATCTATTTGGCTCACCTTATACCGCTGGGCTTCTTCGGTTTCCCTTGAAAGCTCAGTGGTGAGTTTCTCCACTTTGACTTCAGTGACGTCGATCTTTTCCTTCATGGACTCGACACATTTAGATGTTTTGTCCTGAGAACAACAAAAACATACTGTAAGTGTCTTCAAATGGGCTTCTGTAGTGTGCGGGCTACAATGAATGATTGAGAAACGAGTTATACTCTTCTACAAAATATAAATATACCCTACCAGTTCATCTTCAAGTATTTTGATCTGCCCTTCTTTCTTTGCAATGTGCTCTATGTTCTCTCCTGTAGATGAAAACAGCATCAAAAGGCTTCAAATGAAAGGATCTACGTATGTCCCTCAGTGAGGCTTACCTAAAAGTGTGTTTCTTCTTTCCAGTTCCTCACTGTTGGCCATGAGTTTATCCTCAAGTTCCTTAGCCCTTGAAAATAAAATATTCCAATATTAGTTCCCAAAATGGTAATGTTATATTATATATATTTAGTCCTAACAGGAAAATAATGGCATAGGAAACATGAAGGAAGGAAGGAACATGCCCTGATGTGTTTGGCGCTAATGACATGTATACCTCTTTGCCTCTAAGGCTAGGGAATCCTGGAGCTCCTGAATGTTCGTCTGAATCTGCTCCAACGTCTCTGCTTGTTCATTTTTTACTTTGCTGAGTTCCTGCAAGCTTGAGTCTTTGCTTTGAATCATCTCTGTAAATTCTTCTTTAGTTTGTTCAAGAATTGCAGCAAGAGCTTCACATTTTATCTAAAGGATAGAAAACTATATTTAATCAAAGCAAACAAGGCACAACAGAGCCCAGTTTCATGTCACTCACCTCGGTTTCTGTGCAGCGCTGCTCTGCAGTGAGACGTTTCTGAAGCAGGGACTCTTGTTCAGTTTTTGAGCTACTGAGAAGTCCACATTGTTCATCTGTAAAGTAAATACATATTTAATTAGGTATTCTTCCCTAGATGATCATTTCATTATCACTGTAATTATATTTGATCCAAACCTATTTATCTTTAAACATTTCTACTTTATTACAACTGCTGAGATGTTTCTAAACATTGTTGAAATTACATTGAATGTTGTTTCACAAGAACGTAACACAACATTGATTATGTAAACACAAAATTCTTTGGTAAAAAAAATAATGTTTATAAAACTAAGTTAATCAAAAATAACTTCTGAATCTAAAAAGAAACAAGCTCATGATTAGAAAAGAAATGATCGTACTTGTTTCTTCTTGGAGTTGTTTGCACTGCTTCTGGTTTTCATGGAGGTCCAGCAGGAGGTTTTGTAGTTCATGTTCCTTATCCCGTATTTGAGTTTGAAGCTCTGCGACCTGCGAATGCCAAACCATTAGCCTTGAGTTTCATAAACTCCTAAATAAACGGACCAACATTTCCTTCTACTAACCTCTTTTTCTTTCACGTCATATTCTTGATTGTACTTCTCTTTCAGATCTTCAAACTGCAGCAAGGCCTCTTTGACTGAAAACATTAAGGCAATGTTTTCTTGCTGTTGGACATTATCTCTTAATCCTAGATCATTCAAAGTTAAGATTTGGTTTCACTGTAGTGAGAAGGCTACGGCAAACAAAAAGATCAAAGCAAACCTTTTTGCATCTCTTGTTGATCATCTTCTGCTTGAACACGAAGGCTTTCAAATGCTGCAACCATGTTCTACGAGAAAAAGTTCCATATAAACTGACAATCACACATTTAATCCCGCTGTTTAATCTACTCCTGTCCATCACATTATTAGTTAATAACATGATGATTTAAAGGTGTTTACCTGAATACTTGAACTATTTTCCATAAACAGGTGATGTGTTTCTTCTCTTTCGGATTCAACTAAAACATTTAAAAAGACATCAGCAAATAAGCAGCAATGTGTCCATTTGTTCAACACTTGATATGACTGGTTAAGACACAGAATACAGAAGAAAAAGCACTTTTAACTTACATAAATGCATTTTTTCAGCTGTCCGCTGAAAAGTGTCTTTGAGTATATTACACAGATTCCTCGTTGCGTTGTTTCTGTTTTTTTTAATAATTAAAATGTGTTATTAACAGAGTATTTTATAGAGACAAAACATTTCATTTAAAAATTGTGTTTTTACAACAAAACTCATACTTGTTCCTCAAATCCTCATTTTCGCTGATCTGTTCCTCCAGCTTTACACTGAGACTTTCACTTCCAAACTGTGAAGACAGAACACACAATACAAACAATATCATCAAAATAATCCTCTGATATAAATGAAAATAGTGTTAGAGAGAGGCAAGAACTGAGGCACAAACCTGCAATTCTTGGATGGCTTTGCGCTGAGTTTCAATTGTTCTTTTGTTTTCTTGGAGTCTCCTTTCCTTTTGCAAAGTGTCAGAGTCAACTTTGACCTTCCAACACTTAACTTTCTCAACTTCATCAAACAACTTTGAATAAAGCTGTCCAGGATTGCAATTATTCTGTGGGATATACACAAAGATGGTAAGGTAGACATTATTTTGAATAAATACTTGTTGCATACGCCAAATCTATCCTATTTATGCTTCACTATACAATGAAAGTATTACCTCGCCTTTTTCCATTGGCGACACAGCTTTTATCTTTGGCAACTCTGGAGAGAAGAGGCAATGTTCAATGTATAAGGTTTAACATAAATATTTGTGTGCTGAATTTATCTAGCTAGTGCACGTTGTTTAGTAGAAAATACCTGTTCCGGTGGGTTTAGTTGGTGCAACCATGCTTGTATTGGGAAATGGCATGGTCTGCTCCTTTTCAAAACCTTTACTAATAACCTGGGAAAACAGCATGCTTGGTTATTTTGTGTATTTATTATGAAAAGATCTCCGTATGTAATAATGTGCCATTTCCGTTATGCGGCAACATTTTTTTTTACCTCATAACGATCAAGCACATCAATAACGTTTTAAAAAAAGTATTTTAAGTGAACTATTCTGTAAAACCTTCATCTGTAATTTAAGCAATATGTTAGGCTACACATATGACACATTTTAAAGAAAATAAGTGGAACTAATTCATTGTGATATAGTGATGTTGCTTTTTCATAGAAATAACTAAATATTGTCAGGCTACAACAACAATTGCATTCAAGAGTAGATAGTGTATGTTGAAGACTTTCATTGCTGGTTGAAAAAAGTTGTCTTATTGTTGTGCTGACAGGCCGCGTCAGTGCTGAGCTGGCATATGTGTTAAGCCTTGAATTAGTTAACACTTTGCTAGTTGAATGAACAGTTACCTGCTGCACCATGAAGTCCCCACATGTCTCCTCGACTTCCTGCGGTCGAACAGCAGACACCTGACCGTTACTCACCCTGGAAGGCACCAACAGTTTGAAGCTAAATCCCCGGTTTCTGTCCATCCTGAAATAACACCACGTAGGTCCATATTTAAACGTAAAGTACAGTTAATTAAGCTTAAACATTTAAAGGAAATGCATTCTTTATCAACAGGGGACATAACGTTTGAGAAAGATAATATTATACAACTTCACATAAACGTTATTTATTTCACCCAGCCGTTAGTTTAAACCGTTGGCTAAATTAAGTAAGCTAGTTAGCGTGTTACTTCAGTTAAGCTATGAACTTAACGGCACTTTGCGCTAGCTCTTGTGTCCAAGTATCTAACCTAATTTACCTTCAGGAACATTAATACAATAACTAACAGGCAAAACAATTGACTTAACAAGCGGCGACCGGGCAGTTACCTACCTGTCCTCCTGTCCCTCGTTGTAACGAGTATGAAGTATTTAACGTCAAAACGTCCGTTAACGGTTTTTATCTGACCACCGTATTCGAGCGCGTGCAATAATCCTGTAGCGTGACCTCAACAGTTTATTTCAAACTTTGTGCAACCGTCACGAGGAGCATTACTTCCATTATCGGACAACAAGGAGCATAATATTCCTGAACACACTCAGAGGAGACGCTTGTTTTGGTCTGGGTCACTGGGTGTATACTTATTACAACATCATACATACTAAAACATCTCTGTTTTAATGTTAATGTTTAATGTAATATAATAGACTGTGAAAAACAAAACCTCACACATTTTGTGTAGGAAAAATATAACATCGAGGACTAGGCATGGTCAATTTGACGTGCAAATAAATAGTTGCCCCTAAATTCACTTACATTGTTCAACCAGCGAAAATGTCAGAGGTTAATATTGTCTTGGCAATATTCTATTAAGCCTATAGGCCACTTTTTTTTTGTTTGATTTAGTTTTAATGTGGTTGTTATTAAATGGCAAGAACATGAATAAAATACAATGTGGAAACATTTGTAACAATTGACTTAGGCCTACAGTAAATCTATTACACTTTTTCCCCAAGGCTGCTTAATAAAGGTTAATTAGATTTGGAAAATCTAAGAAAAATAGATTGAGTGCATCTATGAATACTCAGTCTTATCTCCAATTTATGAAACACATTGAATACAGAGAACATTTTTATCCTAATCAAAGAATAAATGTTTATTGGATTTGTTCAATATATAGGAACTTGTAGTTTGTTTTCTTTCATATGCAAACACACAGTTTCAAAGGTTTAATGCCCTCAGTATAATAGATATTTCCCATCATCCATCATCAAAAATGAACCAAGCAAAACATAAAAGGAGAAATAGAGAGTATGAATATGTTTTTGTAATATATATGTAAAGTTATAGTTGACCATACAAGTAGATGTTTTCAAACATTCAAAAACTGTGGAGAGCCACAATATAATTGTAGACATCAAAAAGGCCTTTACAATGTGTTTGAGAGATGGTGTCAAAAATAGTGATGTAAGACTATAATGATGCACTTTGACAGAGAATGTTTGCAATCTTTTTTTTGTATTGTCCTAAATTGAGCACAACCCTTCAAATGTTCCCTCTTGAAAAATAACTTTAATAATCTGATGGCACATTTAAGAAGGTTAAAGTACCCAAAATGGTGAACTGCAATAACAGTAACAGAAAACTCAGTGATACCATCTCAGATTTTATACAGATATATCCTATAAGCGCACACTTGAATTGTCTAACAAATTCATGTAACAGTCCCTATATGAATATAAGAGGCATTTTATGTGTACTGTTTATTTGAGTTAAAAGGTTTGTAAATAGCTTAACTTGCATTGCAGGTAAGGCTTTCTATGGTGGTCTTAGACTGCATATTTGCCTCACAGGCACTGTTAAAACTGAACTTAAATATAACATAACATATTACACAATATTAGACAGTGTCTTCCTTGTTACTAGCCTCTGACACACCCTTGGCAGTATTTTCCATGATGGACTTTTGTTCTTCACTTTCCGCCCTGGCCAGTCTCTCTTCCTCTTTTTTCTCTTTGTCCAGCAGTCGATAGTTGAGTCCCATCCCTGCAAACAGAATAACACTGGAGACGATGAGGAGGATCCCGCAGCTCTGGTATGTGTACTTGTAATCATGATAGATGTCTTTAAGCTTCCCTGTGAAGAGAATAAGAAGGGCATTGCATAGTTTTTAGTCACTGTCAACATTAGGATGCAGTTAACAACACAGAAATACATTGAAATTGGTAACAGTGCCAATCTCAGGTACATTCTTTGGTATTTTTCCATATGAATTACCTTCAGGTTGTAAATATCTGAACAAATAAACCGGGTTTATAATGTGGTCATTGCCCATAAGTCTTTATCTATCATCATTGGCGCCTTTCTGTTGTTACACAACAAGTCCTGGACTTCACAACTTTACCAGTCCACATCTTTACTCTACTTCAAAGGGAGCAAGCTTCTTTCCCTGACATTATTGATAGATTAGGCAAGTTCTACATCATTATCATACTATATAATGTCAACATCTCTGTGGTAATACAGTATGTCTTTGGATATCTTAGCTTTTGAGTATCTATCCAACCCTTGGACCGATCTACTTCACGCTTGTTGTGTGTGTTTTTAATGATCCTAGGGAGTGCATTGCTGCTTGTCAAGTTATTTGGATATTAATATTGAACTTGAGAAACTAAGATTCTCTCTAATGACTTTACAGAAACTGACCTGCTCAGCATTTCACCAACACAAAAGAGGATTGTACTACACCCCATATGTATTTTTATATAACTCAAATTGTATTTATTGTTTTTTGGCTAATGGATATGGATATTATTAAGGTTCGGAAATGCTTTGCATTGTTTCATGCTGTTTTTTGTTTCAAACTTTTTTTATACTGTACTTAATGTTTATAAACTCAAATAAAATCACAAGCAGAGAAGTGGAACAAATAAAAAATAGGGCCGATGCACTTGGAAGTTCGTATAAAAGTCGATTTACTCACCGAGCAAAGGGGGTCCCAACAACACAGGACCACACTCCACAATGGTGACCAGCCCAACAGCACTGGAGAAGCGCTTAGTTCCCACCAGGTCCATCAACGTCTCAAACAGAATTGCACTCAGCCAGCCAAAAGCAAACCCAAAGAAGATGGAATAAATCACAAAGCCTGTGAAGTCAACTGATAATGGTGATAAAATGTGGCAAACGCCGTTAAACAGAACAGATACAGCAAAGAAGTACTGTATTCTGGGTCGAACCCACTTAGTGTTAGCCAAGGCCCCCATTGATGGCCGGGCCACCATGTCCACAATAGCCAGCACAGACAGTAAGAAAGCTGCCTTGTCTTTAGGGATGTCTTTACTCTTTGCATAATTACTGAGGTACACAAGTGGTGTAAAGAGACCGAAAAACATGATGACATTTCCTCCAATATAGAGCATGAAGCCGCGGTGCTTGAACAATGAGAGGTCAATGAAGCTGTTAATGATCTGGACTACAGTCCTCTTCTCTGTGGTCTTCTTTGGAGGTTTTGGTTTTGGTCCTATAGGCCGCATGAGGGAACCAGCGACACAGCAATTAAAGAGCACTCCACCCAGGATCAAAAAACTTCCTCTCCAGCCAAACTTCTCAAAAAGCCAGGTGTTTATCGGAGCCATGGTGCAGAGAACGACAGGGCTGCCTGCCATGGCTATTCCATTAGCAATAGGTCGCTTCTTGTAGAAGTACTTTCCAATCATTGTGAGGGAGGGGTTGAGGTTGAAGGACAATCCCAAACCTAAAATAATCAATCGAAAGAAATATGTTAATGTATTAGACCTCTATGAATATGAGTTGAACAATAAGGATTTGAGCATTCAACAGTGTTTAGAGATTCAGTAAAAAAGAACTAAGCCTTTTTGTCCTTGATTGAACCATGTTCAGCGCATTGAGATACATTATTTCTTCTTCTAGGGATACTCCTGGTCAGGATTGCAGTGTAATCAGTTTGATATAAACTGATTGTCACAAGTTAGAACACATACAATATATAAAAGCAACACAAGAGAAATAGTGAAAAAAAGAGAGACCATCACAGTCCATACAAGCATTATTCCAGAAGTCAAGTGTTTTTTTAAAACAGCAACACATTTCCTTAAGGCAGTTTGTTAGAGACCTTTAAAGGTATCAAAATAAAGGACTACTTCAGGTGATGATATATTGCATCTCATTCCATGCCCAAGTTGCACAGAAAGAGAAGCAGAAACCTCAGAGCGCACCGTAGGGCATTTTAAAGAATCCCATTAGTAGATCTAGTTCTAGTTCTGTAGTTGCTGGTATGAAAGAATAAAAGGCTGGGAATAAATGTTGGTGCTTTAAAATGTCTAGGCAATAAGTTCCCTGGTTGTTTTTATTATTTACCACTAGGGGGCAACAGTGTGCAGTATGACAGAGAAAAGAAAGGGTGACTCATTGTTAAACTTCAGAATATAGAAAGTTGATATAGGTACCTCCCACCACACCAATAAAAAAGTACAGTTCTTGAACAGAATTGCAGAAAGACGCAGCAATGAGGCCCAATCCGGACAGGAGTCCTCCCGACATCATGACAATACGACTCCCATATCTATTCACAAGGATGCTGCTGATGGGACCTGAGGAGAAAAATAACAATATGCACGTATTAGAAGCAGAATGATGGGGATTTCTCTCCAATCATCAAAGCACAGGTGTTTATTTTCTTATATTTAACCACAAGAGGGCTCCAGTGTCACGGCTGTGGCTCAGCAAAATCAAACAACTTCTGCAATCATTTTTGTCAGTGCTGCACTGCAGTAGATGTGTTCTCATGGCATTAATAATGTGATGTGTCAGAAAAACCATGAAGGCTGTAGTGCATTAAGCATCTATTTGGTTCAGATATTCATAGACGGAGGGAGGGATCATTTGTTAGTGGATTCTTCAGAAATGGGCTCTAAATACATTTAAATGATTATCAGATAATCTAAGCATAAGTAGATGTCTGTTGTTTTTAAATGAGAGGAGTGGGGGCGGGTAAGGAGACTTGTGTGTTTGGGGTTAAAATATAAACTGGTACTTTCTTAAGTACAGTTTTCTGACATACAGTATTGGTACCTTAGTTCCAAAGAAAAAGTGACAGAATCAGGTAATATTTATATGCATTCACCTTGAATTCTACATCAATTCATGCAAAATTGGTGTGACTTGTAAACAAATGACTAAATTACATGCAGGGTTCAGGTTTCCATCTCCATCTACGGCTTATAACCACCAGCCTAAATGAGTATGAGGACCCACATGGAAGACACTTCTCCCTTCCTGCCAAATCCCTGCACTATCCAATGAGCCTAAATGGAAAGTGACAGTTTTTGTTTAGAGGTTGTCCAGAATCATTTGCCAGCCCGGTGCAAGACAAAGGGTTTTTAAATTGTAATGCAGGCGGTCTCCACACTAACAATGAGTTCTTTCCGTCCGCCGTGCAGCGAGAGTTGCTTAGGATAAAAGGTTGGAGACAAACCAATGTAGAATATTATGAGTGTAATGAATGAAAAATTGAAGGAGTACAGAGGTACGCAACAGTAGGTTGTTAATGAACTTCTCCTGCCGATGTGCTCAGAATGTGTAACACAACAACAGACTCAGCTGTCATCTACTAGCGGTGATGACAAACATCTCCTCGCTTACTTTCAATTACCATGCATAGCTTGCTTTCATCTGAGTTTATTTACTTCTCAACATTTGCATTCATTAACATTGTTACACATGGATGTTCATATTGAGTACAGTGACAGTGAACCCATTGTAAAGTGAAAGAAAATTAAGAATTATCAGATTGTTACCCTGTGACCCTTAACCACTGCAGGGAATGTGTTGCTGAACAATATGCAGCTTTGATTCCTTAAACATACTTCTGCTGTACTGTATTGAGGGTTTAACTTGGACGTGAGGTTTTGCACGTATTTAACATGTAATGCTGTTACAGTTGGAAGTTAGAAGCAGCCAATGGTTTTCTCTTCCAAGTTCTCTTAATGTTCTCCAAAGAGAAAAATATAAGAGAAGTCCGACGCACCAAACCTTCTAAACATTTACTGTAATCTCGCTTGATAATAGATTGGAGACGTGTGGCCGATTTTATATAATTAGCATCGGAAACACCCAGTGTTCACTATATAAGGGCAGGTCATGTGCAACTACTCTGGCACATGCACAAGAATCGAAGAGATGCCACCAAAAAAAATGCTCAAAGAAAGTCTTCACCAGTATTGAAATCAAGTTTATGTTGAATAAACTAAAACAGTTTTTCTTATTTTGTAAAGAGTTTTCTCGGCTGCTTGTAAACGTTTCTCTTACCTTAGAAAATAAGAAAGAAATACAAAATAAATAACATGAATCAAAGAAATCCAATTGAGAACAAATCGTGGATACAAACTATACAAACTCTTTATACAGAGGTTGTGCCGCAAATATATGATGTTAAGATAAGTTTAAATGTAATATGTTCAACACTTTGCATGGGATGAAATACTAGGCTAGCAATAAAACACCATGTCTAATTTTATTATATTTCTTTTAGATCTTGCAAATACATTTTACACTGAGGCTAGAATAGAATATTATGGTGTAATATTTTCCACTTCAGATTAGTTAGGCACACTACAGCAACTTTCTCAAAGTTCCTAGAGAATAGAAAAAGATGCTGTAGTCATCATTTCCCCAGTTTATCAGATGCAAGAGAAAAGAGAACTGCAGTGTTTTGATTTCAGAGCAGACGGTCTTGAGGGGCGAGGAGAGCTCCTTTGAACTCCGCTCGCTCCGTGTTGAATATCATGAACATGAAAAGAGCCTTATCATCACTTGACCTGTGTGACATCACCCAGCGCCTCATTCATCTCATCAGCGCAGGAACACACGCTACCCCCCCTGGTCCCCCGCTCTCACAGCACAATGGGACAACAATAGGCCGGTATACACGGCCCATTAACGTGCTTAAGGGACAGATAATGTTGCACTTTTATAAACAACACTTCAATAGAGGATTTACAGTTTTGTTTTATCTCAGTATGAAATGTTTGATTTAAGCCGCACTATAATTCTGAGACTCTTTGTGGCCTCTTTGTGGACAGACACGATGAAAGGCTACAATGCAAGTCTGTTCTGGAGCAATGAATCGGCTTTTAACACTCCAGGAATAAATCTTTTACCGTTGTGCTAAGAGCCAGAGATTGATTTAATGTATAAATCTTCTTGTTGTGCTAAATGTCAAGTGTTAACAAACTCATTTTTGGCAGGTTGTATTTTTGGGTTGTAGCTCACCTCCGCCGTACATGACGGCCAACATGATGGAAGAGATCCAGGACACCTGGCTGCTGGTCACGTCGAAGATCACCTCGATCTCTTTAAAGAAGACAGTGATGGACTTGGGGAATGCATAGGAGAAGCCAATAGAGATGAAGGCCCCAACCACCACCATCCATCCCCAGCCACCCTCAGGGGGTGTGTAGCCTTCAGGACCACCAACGGCGGGCGCCATTTGCACTCTCAAAACTCCTCTTCAATATATCACGTTTTACTGATACAAGGACCTGTTCAGGAGAGAATGAAAACAAATGTTACTTAAAGGGACTCCAAATATGTACTTTTTATCAGCCGAGTATCAGCCCACTCAAATATTATGGAAAAGAGATAGGACTTTTCCTGTCGCTCATGAATGAGAGTCTCGTGCTCATGACATTGGAATGTAAATATTAAAAGGGTCTTCCTCAGATGAGCTGTAGAGTTAGCAGGAGAGCTTCTTATTGAAGAGTTTATGCTTTCTTCAGCGCGGTGATACGGTTAGCACTGTTGGCAAGTTTCTTTGGAAGAAAATAGTTCCTACATGAAACTGCCCACAACAAAACTGTGAATTATTTTGAGTAACTAGGTCATGATTTTTGGAGACATTGTTGTTAAGTTTCTCAAATGTAATTTTTGGGGCTTATTTGCACCTCAAACTGAGTGCCATCTACTTCCACTATATTCGAGAGAAGGCAGACATCTTTATGGACTGAGATAGTTTCTAGATTACACCGTACAGGTAGGCTGAAAAATATTTATTCTGGGATGAACTGTCCTTTCAAACCTGATGATTTGTCCTCTGCTTTGAAACATTTATCATTAGCAGCTCGGAATTTCTTTGTAACATGGAACGTGTTATATTTTTAAAAGATTTTATTTATTGTTAAAGATTTTTTTTAACCAGTTGGTTTATCATTGTCCTATTTGGTAACATTAGAAATGCACTTTGAATGCACTTTGGTATTTTCATTAGCAAGGTTTGCTAATACTGTTGCTACAGTCTGGCTGGGATTATATCAGGAGCTTTTATTGTCAACATGCAGCTCTCCATGATGGTAGAAATGTATCAGATTCATTTCTGCTTGTTTCACCTTCATATACTGCCAAATATAGTGCATGCTCTGTACACTGACCTATAAAAACCTCTGAGTACCTGATACTTTGTGCGTATTTGGAAAGAGATAAAATATTTCTTAAAATATTTCCCCAACTTGATAAAAGAGGGATGCCGTTTTTGGCCTTCTTTTGCCTTTGAATTGTTCTCTGCATGTATTCACTGAGCGCCCACCCGCTGATCTCCCACAGTCTCACTTTAGAGATGATGAATAAGAGTCCATCTGCAGAGTCAAACAACTTACTGCATTGTTTACACTGGGGAGACTACAGAGAGAAAACATTGATCAGACCATGAACACTGGTTGAATTCACACTGTTCAATAGCTCAGGGCTACGCTCAGGAGTGGGTGATGATATAGTGTTTTTCAGCAAAGGAGGACTTGATTTGGTTGATGAATTGTAGTGGTGCTCTGAAAACGTATTGGAGAAGCCAGTTGAGTGCAGCGAGTGGTGAATATTTAATGAGTTAAAGAACTTTTATTATTGAGCTGGGATTTTAGCTGCAGCTGTGGAGCTGTAAATGTTCCTCCTGCATTATTCTACATATTCAATAGTCAATGAAGGCGAGATTTGAGAACTTATGTCTTTCATTTATTCAAATAGACCTTAAGGGTGACTTTAAATAATAAGATAATAAGCACTGAGGTGTAATGAATCTAATTTGCAATATAGAATATATAGAAAGAAAGCGCAAAAAGTGTTAAAGCTGCAATCACGTAACAGCTCCTCGAGTTCATGGATATGTTGCTGTTTACATAGCCATCATCATCAAGAGGAGGTGGAACTGTAATCTGACATGTGTCCCCTGCTTATTGTTTAATAATGTAATAATATCACAGTATACACATTGGTGATTTGTCAACATAAATCAACAAGCACACTTCAATATCTTTGAAGCTTTCAGGTCAGTGTTCAGCAACAGTTTATATCTACTAATGACAGTGTTAAAGAAATAGTCAAATTTTTTTGGATTTGTGGTGTTTTCATAACATTTTGTCAAGTGCATGAAGAGAAGCTTGATATAAATCAAAACATGTTGAGTATGGACCTGTGTAGCCTAGCTTAGCATGAAGGCTAATGGTGGGGGAAACACATCAAATAATTACCATGTTTTTCGATTGTTTTAATCTTAACATATGTAACAATCTAATAGCTAATACCTACTCCTGGTATTAGAGATGAGCAAAAACATTTATTCATCACTGTTAATGTTAGGGTTAACACGTTTACAAGAACGGTTGGTTGAAAGATTATCACTGTGTGAGAAAAGTCACCACAAATTCACCGGCAGCCTCTGAAATAGGACAGTATGCTGGGGAAGTGCTCTGAACTGACAGCAGAGACAGCATTGGGTTTTAGAAGAATGAAACATTCATTGTATGGCTTTAGATGATGAATCCAGGAAGTAGCTAATACAGACAGGACACCAGATAAAGCGGCGTAATCGCAGGAATAATAAATAAACTGGATGATTTCATACTGATTGATCGATTGCTATGCTCTAATTTGGAGAGAATAGCATCAAATAATTCAGTGAAAACTGCAGAGTCTATTCATTTATACCTGGTAGTGGAAAATGAAATAAGTAGACGAATGGAGGCTGTGGCTCAGTGGGATAGTGCGCTGAACTAGCAAGGGGATAGCAAGTTCGAGTCCCACTGCAGTCAGCATGTCGTTTGCCCACAGTACTGAATGTATGTAAGTCGCTTTGGATAAAAGCGTCTAACAAGTGACATGTAATGTAATGTAATGAATGGGCAGAGGCATTGATGCTAAGCCAAATCACATTGTAAAGGTCTAAAAAAAGCAGTCAAAGTGCCACTTGACAACACAGACATACCCTCACAGAGCATGGTGGGTGTGTCTGAGCACAATAGAGATGCAGAATGAAAAGGTGTCATTGTTAAAAGGATACGTTCTTCTCTGGAAATAATTCAACTAACATTGGTCACTCGGTTAGATTTCAGTGTGTATTGTTGGACTTGAATAACATTAAACATGTTATAAACATGCATACAAATATGTTCCATGTAGTGCATTCTAGGGTCTAGAAATAACCTCTTACTTTGTTGAAGTCAGAGTTGTTTTTGGTTTGGATCAATAGAACACTACACTGAATTAAATAGATGTTAATGTTGTAAAGTATTATAGCAAAAGTAGTTTAAACGTTGTTGAATGAACATAACATTTTACATCTTTGGCAAAAATGTTGTGCTTGCAGCTAAATATCTTTGATTCATTCTCCCTGCAGCAATGCTCTGAGCCTTTTATGACCCCAGGTCTTCTCATACTACTTATTAGATCAAGTGAATTTGTCTGATTAATTATGGATGAGAATAGCTTGTTAAATATTTGCAGAGGGAAATCTCACCCTCACACAAAATGTATTGTTATAACATTGACAAAGCAATACATCTTTTATGAGTATTAAGCTGAAAATAGCGTACTTATGCAAGTAATTACTTTTAAAGAGATAACTGTTAAATGGTAATCGTGCATAGTGTGTGTGTGTGTGTCAAGTGTCTTACCTTGACAGGAGCTCTCGAACAGGCCAGATGAGCTCTGAAGATAAACACCCGTCTCCACGGCACGTTAACAAACTGCAGACATCATTGAATGGGACTGAATGTCTTTGAATATTTATGAAATATAAAAAAACACTCAATATGTTTCTAAGATACTCCTGATGTTATCTGTGGGTCTAAATCCACTGTGACAGTCCAAAAGTAGCCAGTGGCATTTCAGCTTCACTCTTCATCTAAAGTGACTAACGTGAAGCTGAAAAGTTGAGTTTATTCAGTGTCCACATCACACAGATGAACGGTGTGGACACTATCTAAATGTTGAGGTCAGTGAAGTTCTTATTGGCTGTGGGAGGCTTTGTGCCGTTCCCCTACAATGATTTTTTCTCCACCCCTCTGTCATGTGCCGAGCTCCCACACAAGGTCAGGGTATTTCACTGCACGGCCCTATAGTACGTGTGACCTGAGAGGATATCGAATAATGTCTGCACCCTCACAGATAAGATGCTTCTTACGTTGATTCTCCACATTAGCTGTTTTATAAGCGCTTTAAGAAATCCGGTTTACTTAAACAGCACATCATTTGTTAACCTCATCCACCTACAAGAAAGATTTCTAAACACTTTAGGGGCAGAAATTGTTGAGCCTTTCTCCAAAACCTCCCCGAGGTGCTATTATAGTCTCAGTCTGAGAGTCTGTATCAGAGCTTGGGAAAGGAAAGGCATGAGTACAGGAGGTTATTGAAACAGTGTGTACTTGCAAAGTGTCTTGAAATTCTCGACATCCTCTAAACATTATGTCTCTTGTTACGTTGTTTTATGTTGTTGCCCTCATGTTTCCCATTCCAATAAGAACTTTTACTGCTTTTCAAACAGAGGATGCAGTGGAGCACCACCTATAATTCAGGGTTTTCTCCTGGGCTGGTATTTAGTGTGAATTGGGAATTGATTTTGGGACATAAATATTTAATTTTGCGCACAAACGCAGTTTATGACCACCTGAAAAAATTCCCATCAGCCTTTGCTGTACTTTGTATTTATTAGCATATTCGTGAGAATGATAGCATTCAGTTTATACCACAAACTGCAGCTAAATACAATTATAGAGATATTATGGTTAGTGGTTACTCTATTTTCAAAAAGCTATCGTGGTTCTAAAGTAGCAGCTAGCTGGCTCAAGCTAACAGGCTGTGCCTTGCTTCGCTCATGATAAGTGCAGGCTGATGTATGTTTGGGACCTAGATATTGCATTACCAGCCCCCAGATCCCTAATGCATGAATTCTGGTTCAAAATGATGTCAATATTTTGAGAAGTTGCACATCCATCTTTATATATGGTCACAATGTTAGCTTCCCGGTTGCAAGAATAAGAAAGTAGAGTGGAATAAGTTGACAACCAAATGTACTGATGAAATATGTGAGCACTGTTGTGGGCATGTCAAAAGGTGAAGACAGAAGCAAAGATTATTCAGACTAAAATATCTTAATATTTTTTTCTCTCTGCCTCAGAGGAAAAGTTCCGAGGTCTTTTTTAGTCTGCAGCACTGTGGTTAGGAACAAATGACCTT